GGGGGGGGGGGGGGGTCTGTTGGGTCCCTCCCACAGCTCTTCTATTTGCACAGACTGTGTGCAGCACAGTGATAACTAGGGATGCACCGATCTTTCGGCTGCCGAAACATATCGGGTGAAAATTGCACTTTTGGCCAAAAAAAAACCCCAGCATAGGAATGATTAGCTAGATTGCTATGGGGTATTTCAATTTGCAATAGCCAATAGCAGGGTGGCTATTGCACCCGTCCTCGGCTGCTGTCAATCAGCAGAGGAGGACCTGATGGAGAACTTCAGGTCCACCTCTGCTGATTGACAGCAGCAGTGGGCAGGTGCAATAGCTAGTCTGCTATTGGCTATTGAAAATTGAAATAGCCAATAGAAGCCTAGCTATTCATTCCTATGCTGGGTTCTTTTTCCCTGACTGACTGCGGCCCCGATGTCAGAAAAAAAACAAAAAACAGATAGCGGGGAAAGGTTTACCCTGCTAGATCGAGCAGAATAAACCTTTCCGGGAGAAAATGTTTCTCTCCCGGGCGGCCGGGAGCTTCTATCTAATAGCAGGAGGAGACTCCCGGAACGTCCGGGAGAGTTGGGATGTCTGTAAATGGCATTCGCTGAAGCTTTATGTTGGATAGAAGATCTATAAAGCAGCCCCATAGTATACCATATTTACTTTATATATCATCTATTCCGGTAATCTCCTGAAACTTTTATACATGAATGTTCTTGAGGCTTCTTTTCCATAAACCAATTTATTATTTTTAGAAGCCCTCTAAATTACAATGAACGAGAGATTGATTCACTTACCCACAAGGAAGCGGAAAGCAGGTTCAGCTTCACTCCCTAGAATCTTTATTTTGCTGAATATTGGGAATGACACTCCATAGTTGCCTTTAGCAAACGCTTCTATATCCCGGTTTGAGTTGGGCTCAGAGTCTCCAAACTGGTTGCAGGGGAACGCCAGGACGGTGAAGTGGGACGGGCCGAACTCCCTGTGCAGATCCTGGAGAGTTCTGTAGTTTGCATCTGTGTGCTGGCAGCCACTCGCCACGTTTACAACAAGACATGCCTGCAGAGCGGAGACAACCAAATGCAATCTCATTAACCCTCTGTGACATATCAATGGTGCTGCGTCAGTGCAGGGGCTGCAAACTTCTCCATTTATTGAGGTTTGGCTGTTACAGAATTTTCACCAACAGGATCAATTGAATTCTAGTGTTCACATGTCTGTACACGGCCTGGACTTGTCACTGTTAAATGCCTCAGGACACCCTGCTATGAGTTCACAATGATTACTGCAACGTTGTAAGGGTCAGTACAGTCAGATATGAGAGGAAGGGGCAATGGTTTCTTATGGGATCTAGTTTATAAAACACAAAGCATGTATATTATTATTATAATACAGGATTTTTATAGCGCCAACAGTTTACACAATGCTTCGTGATATAATGGGCGATCGTACAGTCACAATACAATTCAAGACAACAGTGTTAGGTGGGCTCTGACCATAAGAGCTTACAATCTACAAGGGAGGGATAACAAATAGAAAAGGTGGTAGCGGTGTGGAGATGAGTTGTCTGAGAATGTAATAGTTCCGTTGTTAGGTAGAGGAGGGATAGACTTCCCTGAAAAGATGAGTTTTCAGGGATTGCCTAAAGGATGACAGAGTAGGCCAGGGGTGGGCAAATTAATATGGAATTCAGGAGCCTGCTCCATTTATTTCTCAAAAGTTGGACACCAAATGAAAATTTTAAGGAACATTGCCTGCCTTGTTACTGGGATTTGTCCTGCCCTGAAGACGTAGGAGATAGCTGCAGAAGTTGGGGTAGGGGGTCCAAAGAGAAGCTCTGGAGAAGTCTTGGAGGTGATCATGGGAGGAGATGATAAGGGAGCTAGAGAGTTCTTGGGACAAGTGGAGAGGACAGTTTGGGGGATACTTTGGGTATTATTTTAAGAAACAAAATGCTTCATTACAAATACTTTAGTATGCCAGAGTAGGAGAGTATTGTACAGTGTATTGTAGCCATCAAAAGTGCAGAAAAGTTGGAGTTTAGGTGAAAATCCTTACAGGATAACTTAAGTTATTCAATATATAGAGCCTGACAAAGGCATCTAAGGAACCCGAAAAGTTTGCATCTGTAATACCTTAAATTAGTAAAGGATATCACCTAATCTCTAAACTGTCTGCACTAGGTCAATCTCTAACAAAATATTCTAATGAACTACAAGTCCCAGCAGCCAATACTCACCAAACATGACTACCTGTGAGGTTATCTCTATTAATTATGACTTATCAGCAGAGATGGAAGGACATAAGATACAACTTCCCGCCCATCGGATCTCTTGCAATGGTCACACAGGTCTTACAATCTATAAATATGATCTTTCACACTCCATGCGTGCTTACATAATCACACAACTCCTAAAACAATACCACCATGAGGCAATGTTATCCTGCCTTTGGCCACCTTTACCAGCACTAGGTTGTTGTGGTTGGTCTGGCTGTGAGCTCTAGTTCATCTGCTTTGAGACATACAGGGAAACTTGGTGAACACAGCTGAATATTTTGATGGCTGTGTATGCAAATTGTAAAATGTATGTTTCAGGAGCTGCAACATAATATACTCCCTGTTGTCCAAATTTCATCCAGGCCCATGTCCCAGGGAATAGGCAAGGCTGCATAATAGTTGCTACGTAGCTAAAACATATGATAACCTGCCTCTGACCAGAGGACAAAACATAAAAAGACATCAGCACCAAAAAGGTCAGTAAGCCCATCTTGGCTACTCAACTGCTGGCAAGAATTCATCCATTCCTCTTTGTTCTGTGACAGTGGAGAACCACATTCACTCCAAGTCTTTCTCATCATAAACTAGTACAAATATAAAATAATACATCATACAGAGCGGATTTGTCACAAGGAAGATCACTTGCCGCACATAAATATAACTACAAACTATACTTCCTGATACGCTGATAACACATTATCTCAAATACAAACATCCATTCCAAAGAGCTTGCAGTCTACAACCTTCCTCTCCTTCAGTTCAGCTGCTCAGTATAAGCAGTCGTAGAAGCACTCAGACTCTTGCAATCTACTTACTTTGCCTCTGTACTTGCTCAAATAAACCGGTCGTCCCCTGGAATCCGTAACTTCATAGGAATAGAAGTCTTTTTGCCTGGGTTTCAAGAACTTTAACTGCAGAATAAATAAGGCAGCTGTACATAGGACCATAGAAAAGAACACGAGGAAGACTTTAGCTTTTGGTGAGGAGGACTTCAGAGGGAAAGGAGAAGGCAGAGTCTCCATTTTGGAGATTTTGCAGGGAAGTTTGAGCAAGTCAGTGGAATGTAGCATGGGAGGAGCAGAGAGAACGTTGCTGGAAGCCAGATGCTTTCATAGCTAGAAAGAAGGAAGATCTAATGACTCGTCACCAGTCAGCTGGAGCTACATTGTACACATTGGGAGCTATAGAGGAATGTGGGAAGGTGTAGGATTGCATGTGTCCACTCAACCTACACATTTAAAACAATAAGAGCATTATTTCTATTGAAGTGACACTGAACTCAGGAGTTAAATCCTAACAATCCATTCAAGTACCTTAACTATTAACAAAAATGTATCTTATTTGTATATCACTCGGCTGGATATCCTCAAATCATCTCTGAATTCATGCCAACACTGTCTTTCCTTCTGGAGGGTGGCTACTTTTGTTCCCCATGGTCCCTGTGTGTTTTGTAAAGTAGTCACTGCTCCAAGCTTGCGCCCGTAATCAGGGGCGTATCTGCCGCGAGGCAAACAAGGTGTTTGCCTGGAGCGGCAGATTCGCTGAGGGCGGCGATGTTGCCTTGCCTAGGGCAAGTAATGGACGACAATCTCCACTTCCACCGCCACTTCAAGCTCACTCCTGTGATAGACTATCATTTCAATACTAATTAGTAAACTAAATGTGAAAAGGGGCTGCTGTTTTTGGCAATATCGGGTATGGCTATGAAATGCCATATTAAGTGTCAAGGCGCATCAAAGCTTAAACAGCTCTAAACCAAAAGGGGGTCCTTTATCTGTGGGTTCTGCAACCTTGTTAAATTACAACAAATAGTAATTATGTGGTATCCTTATACTTAGTAGACTTAAACGCTTGCATTTTGGGTACATATCTGGGTTAGGACTGTGACTTAGTGGACAATCCTGGGGCCCTGCATGGCTGGGTACTGGAATAAATTTCTACAGGGGCACTATCTGCCCAGAGTTGACCTGCAGTGTGGGTGGTAGTATGAATGTGGTAGGGCATTTCAATTTAGACTCTGTGCCAGAAAATGATGTGAATGGATGTATTTCCTCTATGGCCCCATTCACACTTAGAACAGAACTTGATCGTATGAGTCTCACCAATTTCTCCATGAGACTCATGCAATCTCCTGCAGGGAGAGGCGCTGTATACTATGTAATGACAGCTGCCATCCCCTACAGCTGTTGTGGAGGCTGACTCACCCTTTCCCAGGTGTGAATGGGGCCATTTAGGTGCTGTGGTGTATGTTGATGCTATAAACAATAGTATAAAGATATATTAGTATTTCAGATTTTACACATGATTCTTCCTAGGTAGTAATGGCCCATTCAGACCACATGTATTGGGCTGTGCTGTTCAATGCAATGATAAACTGAAATCTATTGTTTCCATAAGGTATAAATTCACAAGACTGGATGACATTGGACAATGCTGTATTCAAACACAGCATGACATGCTGCAATGCATTACAATGTGCTGCCTCATGCATTAAGGAATGAAAGTCAGTCAATCAATATGAAGCTAAGATCAAGAACATGGGGACATGAACTCAAATTACTAGGAGGAAATTTCAAAACTAACCTCAGAAAGCATTATTTTATGAATAAAAATTAGTTAATGCTTGGCACAGACTTCCAGCAGAGACTGAGTCACTCAACAAGTGAATTTAAACATGTTTAGGACAAACATAGATCTATACTCAGACAAAAAAGTTCCTGAAAAAACGAACAAAAAAAATCAACGAAAAAATATAAATAGTGGCCGACTTGATAGATCACTTGGTCTTTTCCTGCCATCAATTTTCCATTTTTTAATGTATGTTTTTTAAAATAAAAAAAGTATTTTGGCTTCAACTTTTAAAAAAGATTGTACTTCCATATAATGCAACATCTTAAAAACGAATGTCAACTGCATTTAAAGTGCATTTAGTGTGTATCAACGTGTGCCATATGCAACACAAGTGGTGTGAATCCAGCATTAAAGTGACACTAATCTCAGGAGTTAAACTTTAAAAATACATTCAGGTTCCCTAACTAATAACAAAAATGTATCTTATTTGTGTATTACTCGGCTGTAGATCCTCAAATCATCTCTGAATTGGTGCCGACACTGCCCTTCCTTCTGGAGGGTGGCTACTTATGTTCCTCTTGTCCTGTGTGTGTTGTAATGTAGTCACCGCTCTAAGCTCTCTCCCATGATAGGCTACAATCTAATACAAATTAGTAAAGTAAACCTAAGATTGTAGTCCATCACAGGAGTGATGAAGATGCATTTTGCCTGATTAAAAAAATCCCCGAACATCATGGAGAAGAATTTTTTTTTCCCCATTTTTAATTTTTTTAGCAGGAAATACAAAAAGACAAAAGTATCAACAGGTCCAGGGGCGGACCTACCGGCAGTGCAGCCGGTGCGGCCGCCCCGCGGTCCAAGGCTGAGGGGGCCCACTGACGAGGGCGGACTGGGTCGGGGCCCAATGACAGGGGCGGACTGGGTCGGAAAGCAGGAAGGCAGATACTGCGGCTGGGCAGCATGGAGTTAGCCGGGCAACACGGAGGCTCCGGGACTGTCAGTGTGTACAGCAAACAGCACTTTTCCATTCATAGCCACTGCTGTCCTCTCGTCTTCTAGTGCGGACTCTGCTGGAGGCCAAATTTACTTCTAAGTCCACTGTTTTGCGGAGTCCAGTGCATTGCTAATTCCTGAGTCCAGTGCATTGCTAATTCCTGAGTCCAGTGCATTACTAATTCCTGAGTCCAGTGCATTGCTAATTCCTGAGTCAAGTGCATTGCTAATTCCTGAGTCCAGTGCATTGCTAATTCCTGAGTCCAGTGCATTACTAATTCCTGAGTCCAGTGCATTGCTAATTCCTGAGTCAAGTGCATTGCTAATTCCTGAGTCCAGTGCATTGCTAATTCCTGAGTCCAGTGGGTTGCTAATTCCTGAGTATAGTGTGTTGCCACCTCCAGAGCGTTCCTAGGTCCAGAGTCCAGTGCGTTCATAGGTCCAGAGTCCAGTGTCCAGTGCGTTACTAAGTCCAGAGCCCAGTGTGTTACTAAGTCCAGAGTCCAGTGTGTTGCTAATTCCTGAGTCCAGTGTGTTGCTAATTCCAGAGTCCAGTGTGTTGCTAATTCCTGAGTCCAGTGCTTTGATAATTCCTGACTCCAGTGTGTTATTAAGTCCAGGACCCAGTGCGTTGCTAAGTCCAGAGTCCAGTGCGTTGCTAAGTCCTGAGTTCAGTGCGTTATTAGGTCCAGAGTCCAGTGTGTGGCTAATTCCAGAGTCCTGAAATCGATGAATAGTCACTCGCACTCCAATTTCATACCAAGCCAATTCCTTTATTGACTATAGTAGTGTCACAATCATAGCGACGTTTCGGAACCAAGTGGTTCCTTCTTCAGGCAAACATAAAACTACGGTGCCCACCCGACTTATGGGTTAGTTTCCAGTCAGGAGTGCATTGGGACATATCTTGGTATAATTCCAGAGTCCAGTGCGTGGCTAATTCCAGAGTCCAGTGCGTTGCAAGGTCCTGAGTCCAATTCATATACTATTCTGCATTGCTGTTTAATGTATTGCTGGTATTTGTAGTCCCCCTACAGCTGGTGCCATTGTGCATTAAAGTGTAAGCTCCTCTGTACAGAGATGGATGTGACTGGCTCAGTGTTCTCTGCACAGCACCTCTGTATATGTCAGAGTTAAATAAATGTATAATCATAGTGTGTGACTGAGGTGGGACATTAGAGTGTAAGCTCCTCTGTACAGAGATTGATGTGACTGTGGGGGGACATTAGAGTGTAAGCTCCTCTGTACAGAGACTGATGTGACTGTGTGGGGGTGGGGTGTATAGAGTGTAAGCTCCTCTGTACAGAAACTGATGGGACCGGGGCTGAAACAACTAATCGACTAAGTTGATTAAAATCGATGATGGAAAATGTTGTCAACGTTTTCCATCATCGATTAGTTGCCCCTATTTGCGGCTCCACACGCGCCGCACGCTTCATGCCGCACCTCCTCCCCGCCTCACCCAGCTCTGAGCTCTCTCCCGCCGCTGTCCGCCAAGATGATCACGTCATTGCAGGGAGACTGCAGCGTGGGGAAACGGCAGCTGCCGACAGTCCCAAGATCTCGGGGGAAAAAAAGAGTGTGCAGGTAAGACTGCCGCCACGTTTCCCCCCACATGCTGTATAAATGTATTGATGGGATAGTGATTGGTTGTATTCCTCTATAGCTGATGCTACATTGTGCTGTATATGTACCATCAGCTATAGAGGACTACAAATCCCAGCAATACATTATACACTGCTGTATTCCTCTATAGCTGGTGGTATTCTGCATTGTGCTGTATAATGTATTGCTGGGATTTGTAGTCCTCTATAGCCGGTGCCATTCTGCATTGATCCCTGTATCATTTTACACTTTCCATTTCACTATATTGCACACCACATTTTTTTTTTTTACTTCCACCGCTCCAAGCTTGACTAATGTGACTCAGTGTGCTCTGTACAGCACTGTGGTATATGTCAGAGCTATATAAATGTATAATAATAATAGTGTGTGACTAAGGGGGGGGGGACATTAGAGTGTCAGCTCCTCTGTACAGAGATGGATGTGACTGGCTCAGTGTTTTCTGTACAGCACTGTGGTGTATGCCAGAGCTATATAAATGTATAATGCTCCCTCTTTCCTTCCTTTTCTTCCTTCTCCAATTATCTCTGTTCTCTTTTTTTTCTTCTCCTTCCAATCCGAAAATGGTGGTTTACTCTTTATAATACCCGGGACTCTAGTTTTTGCTATGTTTGGTGCTGGTCGAGTAGGTTACCTGTATGCATGTGAATGTTCCCTATCCTATGTGTGACCTGACTACCGTTACCCCTCATCACTGTTGTTTATACCACCGACTGGGTCAACTTATGCCTTTTCAATTTCAAACCTATTACTATGACCTGTTTTTAGTACTATTGCTGTATTACTTGTATTTTGTATTTCTGAAAACCTCTAATAAAAATGAATGTTTAAAAAATAAATAAATGTATAATAACAGTGTGACTGGCTCAGTGTGGCGGCTGTGTGGAGGGGGCCCGGCCTAAAGCCGTGTAAGGGGCCCCACAATTTCTGATGGCTGCCCTGTGGGTGCATCCCTACTATATAATGTGGGGACCTGCCTTTAATTATCCAATCAATTTGGATCCAATCACACAGGTCCTCGAACTACTTAGTTGTTGGTAGGTCTTAAGGTGACTGTACAGTCACATTCTAACTTGTGGGGTGAGCTTAACATTTTTGTGTCCCAGAACACATATTTCCGTTTACAAATTTCCCTGTAGTTGTTTCACTGGCTATTTATTGTCATCCCTGTGAAATGCTGAACTGTTAGGACAGCTGGGTCCCCAATATTGAGGTAGCTATGATGACTTTAAAAAGATCCTGTCACCATAACATTCATTTTAACAGAAATACTTATATTATGTGCTCATCAGCCCCATGTAGTGGTCATAATGGGGTATTTCCCTGATATTACATTTAACCTGGAAAGAAAAGTATGCTAAAATAACATATTTTTGCCTCCATTCACACAGAACGTACATTAAATTTTGCAGGGGGGAATGGCTCTAAAAATTGTTTATAAATACACCCCATGGTGTGACACAGCTGTCATACAATACAGAGAAATTAGGATGCACTTTTGATAGGTTGTTTTTTAATGTTTTGCTAATTAACTTATATTTTTCTTGTCTTTAGACACCAGACTTCGGAAAAACTTCATACTCTAAATTCAAAAGAAGCATCTTAAGGCGTCGTACATGTCAAGTTCCAGTTGCAAGTAGCCCTATCACCACTAGAGGGCACTGCTGTCAAGCGCAAACCTTAGACAACACATTATGCCATGGCTCTGCTGAGTTGTCAAGTTCCTCTGAGGACCATTGTGTGACACCAGAGCGGTTGGTCTTGTTACCATGTGAGTCTCTTCAGAAACCACAACTTCAAACTACTTAGTCTGGTGTCTGCTTTGCTACTCATAAGTAATATCCTAGAAACTGCTGTTGAGTCATTGCCGATTTACTAAAGCATTTGAGAATGTGCAATTCAATTGCTCTTCTTTTTTAACATTAACTTAAAAAAATATATATAATATTAATAGGAGGTAAAAAAATAGAGGTTCAGGAAAACACCAGGTTATGTTTCAGTTAAAATAGCGATATTTTCAGGTGTAGTATATATCTGGAATTTGTTTTTCCAAATCTATCCATAACTATAGAGCACAGGTAGCAAGATGGATTCCTCCACTATGAAAGCTTGGTGGTGAAGCTCCTCTGGTATAGCCTGTCAATGTTTCCTAATAATAGATACATAAGAAATAGTCTGTGTATTGGCAGTGAGGCTTCTGCTCTGAAAATGGATGCTATAACACACAACATGTTTATATGTTCGGTCCTATGAAATTGGGGGTATATTGCTAAACTTCACCTTTGGAGCTGCATGCTGCCGGAAGTTCCGCTATCGGTACTCGGTATCGGCGAGTACCAAAATATAAATATCGGTACTCGATACCGAAAATGAAAAACTGGTATCAGTGCATCCCTAATATCCACACTTAATCCCTTGTGTTCTTGTACGATAAACTACTACGCATTGCCGAACCCGGCCTTGGGGTGGCAGGGAGGGTAAATCCGGTCCTGCTTGTACTGCTTTTCACTCTCCCAGTCTGTGCCCTGCTGTAGAATAACTGCAGAGGGTACTACTAAGTACAATTCAGTGATGTATTCTGCTTGCATTACAAAAACAAATTGAATGATGTATCAATGAATACAATGCTGCATTGATCTGTGTCTTTTATATCTGCCAATAATCATTGGGATTTTCTCTATTTATGAAATACTACTTCCTGCTAAAATGTATGAACTTGTTACAGACCTGACAGATGTGTCCAGCACTAGTGACAGTGACTCTAATCCATCCGGATCAAACGATGCTCCTACCCAGACCCTCAGCAAAAAGTCCATAAGAAAGTGTCTGCATCAAAGCAAGCTGACAATTGTCCATCCGCAGGTATGCAAATAATCCAATAAAAATGAACAAAATACTTCTGTCAATGTGTTTATAATATACTAGCAGCAAGGCCGCTAATCGAGTCAATAGATCACATGGGCGTTATGGTTCTGCTTTAAAGGATGCTACTAATAAACTTCCTACAAACATGGAGACCATCTCCAGCAAAAGTAAAAGTTATGAGGCTTGTTCACTAAAGAGCCGAAGGATTAAGCCGAAGCCTCGTCTAATCCTTCGGCTCACTTCGGTCAGCGGAGCACTTCGGTTCAGCTGAACTGAAGGGCTGCTGTATGGGCTATTCACAATAGCCCGGACAGTAGCCGAACAGCTCAGCCGAGCCGAACGCATATACCGCGGCTCAGCTGAGCCGAACAGACAGCCGAAGCAGACCGTGTTCTCCGCAAATGTAAACATACATTTTTTTTAAACGACGTGGGGTCCCCCTCAAGATCCTCCTAAACAATCTGGTAAGACACTTTAAAAAATGTGCGTGGGGTTCCCGCAAAAGTCATACCAGGCCCTTTAGGTCTGGTAGTAGCTTTAAGGGTGAACCCCACCCCCAGAAAACAGGGAGAAAAAAACCTGGGGTCCCCCCTAAAATTCCCAACCAACCCCGGAATCCGAGCACGGGCCTGGCCTAGACAAGCAAGTGCCCCCCACTCCCTAGGCCATACCAGGCCACATGATCCTCAGGATTGGGGGCCCCCCGTGGAAAAGCACCTCGTCCCCATGGCGATGAGGATAAGGGCCTCTTATGCCACAACCCTGACCCGGTGGTTGTGGGGGTCTGCAGGCAGGGGGGCTTATTTGCATTGGGGTACCCCGCCACCCAGATGCTGCCCCCCCCTTGTTAATGAGTGAGGGGTACTTGTACCACTACTCATTTACCAAAGGGTTACAGTAAAATGTAAATAAACACACCAAACTTTTAGAAAAAATACTTTAGTTGAAAAAAAAAAGTCCTTTAATAAAATTCCCCAAAATTAAAAAAAAATATCCAAAGGTCAATAACAACGTCCAGCGTTGTCCACACCACCGCCGACTCATCAAAAAACCCCCCAAAAACCTGACACCCTCCGGAGACACCCAACCTGGGACACTCTGGCTGGCGTCCTGCCTGCATACACATCTCCCCGCCTGCTCTGGTTACTAAGAGTTGGGCAGGGAGATGTGTATGGCCCTTACACATCTTCCTACCTGCTCAAAGCAACCTGGGATGCTCTGGCCGGCATCCCGCCCATCTTCGGATAACCAGTGACATCACTGGTTGCCAGGAGCTGGGTAGAAAGCTGGCCAGAGCGTCCCTAGTTGCTAAGAGCTGGGTAGGGAGATGTGCATGGGAGAGGGGTGGGGAGAGAAAAAAAGCCAGCTGTCTCTGTGGGCCAACAAATATTCACTGACCCACAGATCGGCGCCCCCGCCCCTTAAGTGGTGCCCAGGGCATGTGCCATATGTGCCATACCCTGGATATGTCACCGCATTGGAGAATGAGATGTTTAGTGTATTAGTCAATCAACTAACCTTGCAATCAAGTAGTTAATGGATGGTGGTTGGTCATACACTTCCTCAGAAAGAGGAGCAGGCCTTGATTAGTAAAGTAATGTTACCCAGTTTTTTTTAAAATTCAGAGATGGATATACAAATAACGAAACCCCAATGTGAACCATAAAAAGTACATGGGAAACACACAGAGAAGGTGCACAAGGGGGTGTTGGTTTGGTCCTTCTCCTGAAGAAAAGGGGGCCCTTTCTCTGCCCCCCCCCCACCCCCCCGGGGAGCAAAGCTCCTGACAAGCAGACCCCTCTACTCTTGGTCAGTAACTTTACAGTTTGTGCAGGAGGTGAAGCTTCATTTGGAGGGTCATTGGTTTTCTAGTTAGATACCATTGAGTATGGGTGACAGTAGCTCAGGTTAGATTGAAGGATTCCCATACATTAAAAATGATGTAAATTTTAACAGTTTGAAATATATTACACATAAGCCTACATCCCATAACTATTCAAATTTCAGGCATTGCTCGGATGTATTGAAGAACGTAAGGATGGATTACCAAAACAACAAGAGTCCGGTATCCGAATCTGTGAGGGACACACATGTACAGCCAGAGGTATTACTTTTTATCTTTGTCCACTGAGGTGCTGCCTGGGCCAAGGACTGTGGCTAATTCTTGTTAACATGAAAGGCTTTTCTATCTGCTAAGAGCGGTCAGTGCTTGGCAAATCATTTTATGACAGGTGGCTCCTTCAAACTTTTATTCTGATCAAATTAAAAAAGAATGCTGCTTCCAATATGTTCATTTTTCATTTCACATTTATAAACAAGCTGGCTTACACAAAAGTGTCCTTATTCATGTGTGCCTCTATACACAGGAAGTTTGATACCTATTTTTTCTCCTGCTTTGGGGAGAGAGTGTAGCATGTTGGGGAGAGATGTCAGGGACCGGGCTCTGGTCACAATCTCAGCATCATGAACAATATTCATCTAAGGACAGTGTGCTTCTCATTTTGGATAGACCTGGGAAGGGTTTTTATTGCTGTATGTGTCTCTGCTGGGGAAATCTAACCTCACTATTGTCTAGGTGACCATTGTTACTGGAAAATAAAGGGATGGATTGTCAATGGGACAGAGATATATTTCAATAAGGACACCTGTACCAAAGACAATGGTCAAAAATAGGATTACGCTTTATTTTGGGAAGATACTTCCTTTGTCTCTGGGGACAGAAAGTACAGGGAAATCTTCCAGATACGGACATAAACTTCAATATAAACCTGACACAGATTCTAAGTTTTAACCACTCAATCCATAAGTAAGAAAAGAAAGTTCCATTTTAACCAACCAGGAGATGGATCCAGTTTTATATAAAAGTGCTTACTTTACCATATCACTTTTATTGGCCATACAACATCTCTAGTTATTGTTAAAGCTGAACTCCAGGGAAATGACAAAACTGCCCTTGCGGTGGGGTTCCCCTGTGCTGCAATAGTTACATTCTTGTTTTTGTCTAGCGTACCTTGAACACAGTTTTATTTACCTTACCCTTTGCTCCCTCAGCAGCCAAAGCCCTCCTCTTCCCTCCGATGTTCTGGGTTGTGGACGGGCCCTTGGCGCGCTCACCTACAGTGCAGGACTTCTGGTCTTCAATTGTACGTGATGACATCACAGTGCAACCGAGAGACTGAGCTCCAAAGAGAAGCAACTTTAGGGACTGGTCACTTGGAGAGGAGGAGCGTGCAGGAGCGGGGGTTAAGGTAAGTAAACTGCTTTTATCAGGTACCCTAGACAAAAATGAGCATTTAATCCTTGCAGTTGACCCATGGGGGGGGGGGTGGGGGTTGACACCCCCTCTGCAAGGGCATTATAATTTCCCCAGAGTTCAGTGTAGGCATTAATTATCAGTGGTATTATGATGGCAGACTAGCTGAAGTTTTCCTTCAGCTTGACAATTTATTTTATATAAATTTACACTTAACAATTATTCTTATCTACAGTTATCAGCTGGTAAAACTTGGCTCAGGGTGCTTTAGATATAAACCGGACATATGCCTTCTGTACTGTGGTCTGCTGATTTTATGTAACTGCTCTGGTTATGAGTCATTCATCTCATCTCACAATCTAAATACTCAAAGACAAACTCCAGGCAGATACAATTTAATCAATGTAGTTATGTGTATGGTAAGGATCCAGCATGGTAAGGGTCCAGTATTTGCTTTTTACAAATTCCCCTGCCACCCCACTCAACTGCTGGAGCCCCCCCCTTCCCCCCACCACACACCTTCTAAATCTCTTTGTCCTGAGTGGGAAAGTGCAGGTTCTCTTAAAATTATAATATAATTGTTCTGTGCTTCTGAGGTCACACAGTTGACAGGTACATCAACTCTACTTTATACCCTGACCCCATGACATAAGCAAAAGTATCAGGCTCAGACATTGTAAGTAAATCAATATAACAGAAGACACATTTAAAAATACACTGAGGGGAATTTATCAAAACTGGAGCAGACAAAATCTGGAGCAGCTCTTCCTGGCAACCAATCAGCTTCTCTATTTCATTTGCAAATCTTAACTGAACAAATTGAAGAGAGAAGCCGATTGGTTGTCATGCACAGTTGCTCCAGATTTTGTCTGCTCCAGTTTTGATAAATTCCCTTTACTGTATTGTTTTACCAATTAATAGCTGCATATGCAGCTTTTGTAGACAGCATACTTTCCCTCTTCACTACTCTACATAGACAAATCAGGTCTCCTTGCAGTATGTAAAACTGCTCCGCAATGACAATCACCTTTGTCCACTAGAGTCTTTCATTATTCCTCCCTAGGAAATCAGCAATAGCATGATTATTATATTGCTTGCTAATACGGGGTAATTACGGGCTAATACTTGCTAATTATGGACATCATTTCTAATTACTGTGTGTCAACTGTATTATTTCTTCAATACTGTAATAGTATTGGACAACTACAGTATTAAACAGATGTACATTGTCAATAAAGCCTCCAGCTTGCACGTGATCACTTGGTCATAACTGATATAGTGTTTATATGACTGCAAACCAGTCTGATATTTTCCCAGTTGTTAGTGGGGACCTGAGCAGTCAGGAATAGCCAGGTTTGAGAGACAAAAGCTGTACACAGTGTTGGCTGCTAGCTATCAAAAGAAGGATATTTATCAAAAAAATCCCCAGCACAGGGCATCATGCTGATGAATGTTAATTCATGAATTATCCATATGAAGGGATGTTCAGATACCAGTGCCGATACTTGGCATTTTCATGAGAACTACTAGGGTCTCAGCAGTTGCAGCTGGGACCGGGCTCTGGCGCTCCACCACTGTCCTGAAATCATTAGTCTGTATTGTTTTAGAAAAACTGTCACATGACACTAAACAAAAATGTATCAGTATTTGTATCTGTGAGAACTTGGACAAGTATCAGTATTTGTACTTGAAAAAATGGTATCGGTGCATCCCTAATATATATTTATTAAAAAAAGTCATTAAAAACGGATGCACAAATCCCAGGAGCTCTGTATGCTCTTTAAAAATGACAGCTGCCTCCTAAACTTTGAATTTTTCTCTAATCTAGTCTTGGAGCTGGAAAAGTATCTTTACATGTACTTGTACTTGCACCGAATACGGTACTTGGTATCTGAACATCCCTACATATCAGCATATGACCTGAGTTTCCAAGCATGTGCTAGATTGTTTACATAGGAGGTTGACAGTCTATGTCTGTATTTTTTGTCATTTGGCAGCAAAGCTGAGACCTTTGTATGACCTACAATCTGATTGTTGATTAGCCAAAAAGTTGATGGGCACAATGTGCGCAACTCTTGATTGGCTGTCTAATCCATGCTAAGAATGCTTGCTAGTCTCCCCCCCCCCTTACAGCAGACACAAGGATTCATACTACCATGGTGCAAACATGCATATTTCAAAGATCATTCAGCTGCCATATCATGATTGATGTAGCACACAAATCGGTAATCTCTGTAGGTAGCTTTAGTTTACAACTCTATATATACAGTTGCATGCTTCCGTTTGGGCGCTCCTGACCAAATTACATTTTTACTTTGCTACTTTTTAACGCAGTGACTGGTAAAAAATAACATATTTGCAAATGTTAATGCAAGGTTACATCTTATTTTACAAACTGGAGAAGTAGAGAGGTGACCAGACATTTGCACATGCCAAAATATATTGTTTTTTCTTACTGAAGTTGTTTACTGATTTTAATTTCTAAAGTTAACTAAATCAACTTATAAAATGAACTAAATATGTAATTGAGGCAATCATCCTTTGGCCATGACTTAATGGGATTATGAGTACACAGTATTGGTGTTTGTAGACGGTTTCTCCCCATTTCAGTGGTTATGACAATTTATCTTTTAAAGATTTCTGTTCTCATTATCAATGTCTGTAGGCATCAGATTGTGACTTGATGTGATAACAGAGCTACACTTGCAGCTTTCATATCAGCTTTTGAGAATTTTCCATAAAGATTAAATTATCCGTTGAAGAGTATGACGGTCTTCAACATTTACATAGATAATACTTTTTTTTCTTTAATTTATTTATTTGCCCTGGACTTATTTTTGGCCTATTTCCACCTTTGCAGAGGTATTAAAAAAAATATGCCAGCAATGTACGCTGAGTGTGCATGAAGCAGGCATATGCAGTTGCTGTATATGAACACAGAAATGTACTTTTTTTGTCCTCTTCATCTCCACTTCCTGATTCCTTTTGAAATGGCCACCTCTGTGCTCTGCAAGCAGTCTGTGTAAATTAACACTCTCTCTCTGAGCTAGCTCCCCCTATTTGTTAGTATTCATTGTTTTGTGACCTGGAAAGGCAGAGCTGGTGTGCCGTTATCTTGTTATCTTGTTACAATGACTCCCAGGGAGGGTGTCAGCTGCTTTACAAATCCAACCCCAGTGTCAGACCGAGCTTCCTGTCGTGAAAATGTTCAACTTGCAGGACTCAGGCCTACTAAAAAGTACATGAACAAAATAAGAAAGCTGAAAAATGAGCTTTGGTTGCATGCAGATAGTTAATTATATCTGGGACTTCAGCTCTGAAATCCATTTGCAGGAGTTTCTGGACTTAGACTCCCAGACCATTATTATAGCATGAAGCTTTTTGTGACATATAGTATATGGTTTCAATAGTCAATCTAATGAAAAGTGAAATTCCAGTCATGGTTGTAATCTGGTGGGATGAAATAATTCTGGGTTTATGTCTTCAGTGTTGAGGTCTCTCCATCAAGTTTTCCAACGCTGTTTACCTCACCTTGCAGTTTTGTTTCTGCTGCAACATTGGTGCCCCCTTCCTTTATCACCCCTAAATGTTTTGTTTGTATGAAACTGCATTAGGGACAGCTTTCAATATTGCTTTTATCTTTTTGTTAGAGTGAAGGAAGTGAAGATCCCACTGTAGATTCACACATGCGATGTAGCCTCAAAACAGAGAAAATGGTTCTTATATAGAGATTGACATACTGTACAATAAAAAATAACTACAGGGTTTCCTTGGCTTGGGTCCAAAGCCACAAAAGCTCATAGAAGTTCTCAGCATTCCAGATCAAAAATAAAAGACAATTAGGAGAGAACTGAGGGAACTACCAAGGAATATGAATACTCAGTTGTCTTGCTAGTAATGGTGTATGTGAGTGCATGTATGTGATGTATGTGACACATTTAGATGAAGGAAGGTGGGGACATAAAACCAGGGCTGTATTTGGATTCAATGCTGTGCCTCTCTGTCCCTAGATAAATCTTAATCCTCTCCACATGTTCTGCACACACACATCCCTATAGTTATTTGCTGAATTTTACCACAAAGGTCCAGAGGTGGCAAGGAGAGTATAACACAATAAAAAAAAGCAAACACAGCTTGTAAATGCCCCCCACTATCCTGCTACCTTAGGCTCTGGTCTATATAACTGCCATTGTAGTAAATACAGCCCTGCAAAACACATAGGATTGGTATTCATATCAACACTTTTTTTATGTTTTTATGTTTTTTAGTGTGGACGGATTTGAACTCTTGTTAGATTTTACTGCCATGGGAGGCTCCATTGGAGGATTCCTTCACTTCCTGTCTGACAAATAGGCTGTCCTCAGGACTGGAAGTGAGGGGAAATCTCTCTAACACTAGCACAGACTGAAGTATAAATGTTTTTTAGGTTAAGTAGGGAATACAAAAAACTCGGTCAGCTTTTTTGTTGTCTGTTTCCCTGGTGCAGATTTTCCTTTACTTCCTGTTTGGTAACAGGTTGTAATCAGAACAGATATTTCTCTCTAACGGCACCCTAGTGTATAGATACACATTTGTTAAAAAAAAACTTGATAGTTTTACATTTCAATCTTCTGTCTCCATATAGGCTGCCAAAACAAGAAAAACTTATGTGATAATTCTTCTGGCTCAAAGATCCGGCCAGAGATGAAACTGCATGTCACAGGGCTACGGAATGATTACTGTAAGTTCCTGTAAGTTAAACTTTATTATTGTTTTATTTAATTTGTTTATTTCTGTTATTGGCATAAAATAATATAATTTATTAAAGTGTAAGTTGCAGTCAACTGGAGGGACCCTGGGTGCTCTTCAGATATCTAATTATGAGAAGGAAGAAGGAGAAACTTTTACATAACATTTAGGGTAATGGTGAGGTTATTTCGTTACCAGGCTTTATATTTAATTAAGAGGTGTGCATTGACTTTCCACTCCCAGAAAGGGTCTGTCTTCACCATGGAAATCACTGCTTCTACTGGTAAAAGCCTTAAAGTGACACTAAACTCTGGAGTCAAATCTTAGAAATGCATTCAAGTACCTTAACTATTAACAAAATTGCTATATGTGTAGCACTCGGCTGTAGATCCTAAAATCATCTCTGAATTGGTGCTCACAGTGTCCTTCCTTCTGGAGGGTGGCTACTTTTGTTCTCCATAGTCCCTGTGTGTGTTGTAAAGTATCCACCGCTCCAAGCTCACTCCCGATAATAGTCTACAGTCTCATGTTTAGTTAGCTAATTTGTATTGAGATTGTAGTCCATCACAAGAGCAAGCTTGGAGCGGTGACTACTTTACAACACACACACAGGGACCATGGGTAACAAAAGTAGCCATCCTCCAGAAGGAAGAACAGTGTCAGCACAAATTCAGAGATGATTTGAGCGTCTACAGCCGAGTGATACACAAATAAGGTGCAGTATTGCTAATAGTCAGGGTACTTGAGTGCACTTGTAAGATATAACTCCTGAGTTTAGTGTCACTTTAATATTGGCTCCTCAAAGTGGAACTAGACCCACCATTTTAACTGTCTTCCAAAACACTTACTTTTAAGGCATGCCTCTGGTAATTACTTTCAAGAATGTCAGTGTGCTTATTTCAGCTCTCAACCAAACCTTCAAGCCATGAAATGGCTGGTGTCATAGCTGATCACATGTGCAGCACAATGGCAACTACAATCCAAATAGAGGCTAAGATGGCACCCTCCTCACCTGTAACAGATAAGTAGGCATAGTTCTGCTTTATAAAGAGAGTTCAGCAAAGGAAACTTAAAGCATATGTAAAGGGAAAAAAAACAACAAAACACCATATTTCGTACTTTCCCAAAATACATGCAAATTTCCAAAAAGTACAGACAAATAACTGTTGATGTTCCAGAATTAGTGTGTGCTCCTACCCTCTTCTTTGACTTGACAACACCGTGCACTTGGGGCTCTGAATTCCAAAGCATGTGGTGTCGGCCCTGCCAACTCCTCTTTGTACATAGGCAGAGAGCACAGGAAGTTAACAGCTCACAATATTTCTGATAAAATCAGCAGTTAATTTTAATACACTGTACATATGATATGTATTCCTTTCTCTACAGATCTAAATCTCCTGGACTGGAGTTCAAAAAATCTTGTTGCCATAGGATTAAAATCAGTGACATATATCTGGAATGGAGAAAAAAATAATGTTACACAATCAATACATTTAGATTCACCTTCCACATATGTTTCTTCAGTATCATGGATAGCGGCTGGGACATGTTTGGCCATTGGGACCAGCAATGGGGAGGTTCAGGTACAGTTTTGTTCAATACCAGTAGCCTTATTCATAAGAATTCACAGTTGTCTATGAAATCAATGACTATGTTATTCTTTTGAAGCTGTGGGACATTGAGACCCAGAAAAGGCTAAGGAACATGCTGGGACATATGTCTGTAGTTGGAGCTCTGAGCTGGAATCAGCATATCCTCAGCAGGTAAGAGATCAAATAAAATGTTCTTAATAAAATACAAAGGACTGATGCAATGTTTTTCCTGTTTTTACACATTTGCTCCAGCTTATGAGTTTGGGGGAACCTACCAGTCTTGATAGACTGTGCAGAACAGTGCTAAAGATTTATTATGAGATGACGGTATGGTTCATCCCTTTCCCTCTATATCATTTAAAACAGTGGTTCTCAACCTGTGTAACCTCAAGACCCACATTTGTCCTTGGGCATTAAGTTGTGACCCAAGTTGCACTGCAATGGAATGCAGTGTGAGCTGCTGTGCTGTTATGGAGCTCCATCCATATGTGCATCCACTTGTACAGCTTCCTTGCGCGCCCTGTAGAGCTGCCGGCGCCAGAATGTGATGTCACTCCGGTCAAGCCACCTCTTCAGGGTACGCAAGGTAGCTGAGCCTCTCACCTAGAAAAGTGGAAGGCATGCGGTGACCCACTGAACACGGGGTGGCGACCCAATTTTGGGTCACGACCCACCAGTTGAGAACCAAGGATTTAAAAGAAGTGTACCTTCACAATACAATTTTAAAGGTTTTTTCCAATCTCTCTAAGAGGTCATGGGAAACCTCTCCATATAGCACATTCTGCTGATCTCTTTGCCCAAAATCCATCAATCAAGCTGTTTGAGCTGTACTGTGTAAATGTTACAAGGCTATCTAAGGTTTAAGTGATTTGGCCTTCTTTGATGTAGCACTGGCCATGCTCAGAAACTCATATTGCCAGGCAACTATCATTTGCCGAAGAACGTCAGCAAAGGCAGCCTTTATATTTCTCTCAGGACAGGTTTCATGTTAATATAGAATTGTTATGCTTTGGAATTTAAAAATGAGAGTTATAAAGCAAATATCAGTAACAAATGCTATTTGTGCTTTATTGTTAATTATAATCCAGTGGATCCAGACTTGGGCATATACACCATCATGATGTCCGTGTGGCAGAACACCAAATGGGAACACTACGTCACCAGCAAGGCATTTGTAGTCTAAAGTGGTCACCATCAGAAAAGCACTTGGCCAGTGGATCAAGCGATGGGCACCTCAATATCTGGCCATATGATCCAGGATCAATCAAGCTAAGCAATCCTCTACAGAGCATTCTACATCCCACTGCTGTAAAGGTGAGAGAGAGGTGTACTCTTGTTATTAGTCCACTGGGTAGACTATTTTGAAGGACCAAGAACTAGGAATGGATTAGGACCTAAGATAGGTACAGTTTATGAGCAAAATATTTAAAAAAATTTCTTAAGGACATTTATTTTTCATTAACTTTATAGAAAGTCTTGAGTTTCATGAATGTTTTTATACGTCTGTCCTCTTCATAACACAACAGATATGGTTTTTGCCATATGATGATTGCACTTTTAAGGCACCCTCCCTAAGCATTTTTTAGTAAAACTTACTTACCTGAAATACAGTTCACTGTGTGGTCTGTTTCAGTCCTACACAGCTTCTCATACATGTCCTGAACTTCACTGACTGTCTGCAATTTTGTAAACCTTGATGGACTTTGCATCAAAGTCAAATAGTGGCAGCAACAGAGATCCACTCCTACAGGTCAAACAACTGTTACATAGTTACATAGTTACATAGTATTTGAGGTTGAATAAAGACATTAGTCCATCAAGTCCAACCTATTAGGATCTCATTCTAGGAGAACCTGTACCCCTGTATATTACGGTCCCTTAAGAAATCGTCCAAAAGTTTCTTGAACAATTCCACATTCTTTGCTGAAATCACTGTCTGTGGCAGTGAGTTCCAGACCCTAACTGATCTTACTGTGAAGAACCCTCTTCGTCCCTTGTGCTGGAATTTTTTTTCCACCAATTTTAGTTGGTGGCCTCTAGTTTTTGCAATGGAATTAATTTTAAACAGTTTATCGCTAATGTTGCTACCACCATTGAACGTTTTGTACATGGAGATCATATCCCCCCTTAATCTCCTCACCTCCAATGTGAATATGTTTAAATTTAGTAGCCTCGTCTCGTAGCTTTGGTCCTCCATACCCCTAATTAGTTTGGTTGCCCTCCGCTGGACTTTTTCCAACTCAAGGACATCATTTCTTAGTACTGGTTACCAGAACTGGACCGCGTACTCCAGATGAGGTCGAACCAATGATCTATAAAGTGGCAAAATTATAGACTTGTCCCTGCAAAACTGGGCACTGAAAACTACTGACCATCTTCTAGCACTGTCTATACACAAGTAGAGTGAAGGGAGACGAGATCTTCACCCTATATTCTCCCTAATAAGTGTCTTATTTGTTACATCATCACTGGACCTTCCGCAGGGTGAACACAAATGCTCCCTATAGTAAATGGAGGTAAATACACTATACAGATGTTTTATGGAACTTTAGGGAGCATCTGTGTACACCCTGCTGAAGGTCCTGTGATAATGTAACAAATAAGACACTTTCCTGAAGTTAAGCAGTTTTTTGCATTGATCAGCATCCTGGACTCTGAGCCAAGATCAGTATCACCTTCATCAGACAATGAACTGCTCAACACTAAGATCAGTATTATCTTCACCAGGCAATGAATTGGTGTCCATGGCTCTCAGACACTCTTGCTGTGGGAGGTGGAATGAGTGATGGGAAAATACGCATCTGGGACACAACTAGTGGAAAAAACATCAAATCATTTAATACAAATTCACAGGTAAGCCCCAAAATGTTTCAGATTGTGTAAAACAATAGATATCCTGTACACTGTTGGGGGCTTTTAAATGCAAACCTGAGTCCCTCCAAAAAGAGCAAATTTCTACTGTTTATTTGCTGAGTTGATAAAAATGGGTACAAAACAGAGTAACTTCTACCTTACAGTAATGATATTGAGAAAAGCGAAATAAATGTATTTATCCAGATAATACTTGGGTTCCAAAACCACATGGATAGACCAGAAGGCCTGCATGGTGCCTTGCCTTCCAGTTGGGCTCTTCTCATGGAAAAGCTAAAAGGAACTAGCAAATATAATAAACTAAACAGATGGTACTGTTGACAATGACTTAACAAGGCCTGACTACTTTGAAGTTTTTAACGTTTTTAGATGGATTACCTTAGATATCATATCAGACACATTTGATACCTATCATTACAGTGCTTATTATGAAAGCCCAAAGTTGGCTCAAAGAAGAGAAAAACATTGCTGAAATGTTGGCAGACGGTGTATAAATTTGATATATTTCAAGTTGTACCGACACTGTAGCAGGGTACCAGCTAATATTCTAGGTTTTTAGAACTTTTAGGAAGGTGACTGATGGGTTCTAGAATAATAATAATAAGGTACTTAAAGTGATATTAAACCCTCAGATTTTTTAACATAAAACAATACTGTAATGTGTGCCTTACTGTAATCCATGGTTGTTTCACTTCTCTTTGCTGCTCTTCCTTTTAAATCTGTATCTGTTCTCATGCTGGGGAGAACTTCTGTTTTGCAGCAGACTGCCTTGTCTCAGGAATGGATACACGGTGTCTGTGTATACGTTTGTATAGGCTTGTAACCTGAGCCAGCACTACAGGAAGAGGCCCTGAGCTGAAAAGGGAAGTTCTCCCCAAGCATGAGAAGACATGAGGATTTAAAAGAAAGAGCAGCAAAGAGAAGGGAAACAACCATGGATTACAGTAAGGCACACATTACAGTATTGGTTTATGTTAAAAAATCTGAGGGTTTAATGTCACTTTAAGCTTTAGACTCAGAAGCACATCCAGAACAGCTCTGTGTTTCTTCCAGTTACTTTTGCATTGCTTAATTTTTCCTTTGCATTGCACAGCAGCTGCTGGGAGCTGTTTCTGAGTTGCTAGAAGCCTATTTTGAGTTTCTAGGAACCGATTCTGAATTGCTAGAAGCTGCTTTTGTGTTTCTTGGAACTGATACTGATAAATATTATATTATCATATTCCTAAAATTTTTACTTTTCTTTAACAAGATCTGTTCTATTCTTTGGCTGCCTGTAACAAGAGAGTTGGCCACCAGTCATGGGACACCGAGAAGCCAGGTGACTGTGTGGCAGTATCCAACTTTATTAAAAAGGACAGATATATATGGTGAGTCTATAATTCCTTCCTTAGTTACTATTTTTAAATGCTTTTAAGGAGAACTACATTCACTATAAAAAAATCTTTGAACACCTGTGAAAAAGTTTGCTAACCCCACTATTAAGCAATTGCTATAGTGACAAATGATTTAATGTATGAATGTAATTATAGTAGGGATGTCCCAATACCATTTTTTCAAGACCAAGTACAAGTACTTTACCTCAGGTACTTGCTCATACCAATTACTGATACTTTTTCTCAAAGTGACATATGTAATTTTTTTTTCTAAAACAATACAGACTAATGATTTTAGGGCACTGTAACTCAATCCATGATCCATGATCCAAGACTACAAATCTCAGCAATCGATGATTATTCAGCTGTGGAAACGGGCAACCAGCAATCATGAATTGCGGAGATATGTAGTCCTCTATAGCCGGTTGCCATTCTCTATTGCTGTAGAATGGCAACCAGCAATCCCATTAATCCATGATTATACAGAAATTATACGGGGCTGCGTTTGGGTCTCACCAGGGATGCGTTTTTGGTCTCACCAGCGATGCACGCTGATCTCTGCAGGACTGCGTTTGGGTCTCTCTAGGGCTGTGTTTGGGACTCACCAGGGCTTTGTTTTGGTCTTACCAGGGCTGCGTGCAGATCTCACCAGGGCTACATTTATCTCTCACTAGGGCACAAGGGCATTGCAGTGTCGGTGGTATGTAACACCCACATTTGCTCATGTCCTGATCCTCCACTTCAATTTTCCATCTCCAATCATTCACGCGACAAACTCCCGATGCATAATGTAGAATCTGACAGATGTCGGCAAAATATAAACAATTGGGCGGAGCTAGCGGTGGTTCCGACCAACTGTTTACTATTGGCCGGCACCTGCCAGAGTCTTCCTGCAGGTCCCGGGCAAAAAACAACAACAACTGGGCGGAGCCGTCTGGCTCTGCCCAGTTGTTTAATGACAGATCTGCGTCCCCAGGTCATTTGGGGACGCTGATCTATCATTTACAAGAGGGCAGGTCGAGCCGTAAGATCACAGCTGGCTATGCACAGCTGTCATGTGCGTGGAGATCGGTCGGCTTCGGCCGATCTTTCTCCACGCTTCGGCTGTCACTACGGCTCAGCCGAGCTGAAGCATATACGTTCGGGTTGGCTGAGCCACTCAGCTGCCTTCGGCTGCTGTACGGGCTATTGGGAATAGCCCGTACAGCAGCCCTTCGGTTTGACTGAACTGAAGGGCTCAGGCAGCTAAAGCGAGCCGAAGGATCAGCTGCAGCTACGGCTGGATCCTTCGGCTCTTCTGTGAATAAAACTCTAAATTTCTAGTAGCTATTCCACAAACGGTGGTGGGGCTACATAAGCAGTGATCTACTGTGGTGACACCAGAGATGGTATAATTGCCACTTTATTAGGACAGTTTCACCACTACAGCCCATAGGTACTGTTACAAAGATTAGGACCAAGATTTTCTGGCTTATATACCAAGATTGTAGTTTGCGGAGCAATATTGTAAAGGGTACAGTGCAGGAACCTGTCCTCTCTGACTAGCTTTGAGGGTTTTATTGCTTTTTCAGGACATAAGCATGTGTATATTTCCTGTCAGGACATAAGCATACAGTATGTATATCAGGTCTCAGGACATAAGAATGTGTATATCAGGTGTCAGAACATAAGCATGCGCATATCACCTATCGAGACATAAGCATGTATAAGCATGTATATATCAGGATATACACATCAGCATGTGTATATCAGGATGGAGGACATGAGCATGTGTATATCAAGATGGAGGACATGAGCGTGTGTATAGGCTTCAGGACTTAAACGTATGTGTATCAGGTCCTAATGCATACCATAAATGGAAACTCCCATATTCCTGTCCTGACCAGTTTTTTAAATAAGATTGACCTTACGTCATGACAACAATACTCCTGATTTTGCACTTATAGCTTTCTGCTCGGAATAGAGTTTGCTGCAGTTTTGCGGAATTAGAAATCCACAAGACTCTGCATGATTAGATGTGTATTGGTATTATATGTTTCTATAGCAAACAATTCATCTGAATCTGCATCATTTGATCTGGTTCTTTATTTTACACCTACAGGTCACAAAGGAAGAGTTTTATACCTGGCATTAAGTCCAGATCAGAAGAGGTTCTTTTCTGCAGCTGCAAATGAAACAGCAGTTATATGGAAATATACAGAATAAAAATTTACAAAACCAGAACTCCTGCAACAAAAGGAATTTGAGAAAAGAGAATCAGTGCTGAGCCTTTCATGTTAAGTGAAGAAGAAAGGGCAATTAATTGGGAGATAATGATACACCAAGGTGTAACAGATGCCATTTCATGAGTGACTGCTAGTAACTGCACAGTGCTTATTCAGCAAAGCCACCAAAAGCTCAATTTTGACAATATATTTAGCAGTATTGCCAGCACAGATAACAGTATTGTCTGCACATATTTTCTACCCCAGAACATGCATAATCCTGCCTGAATTGAGTATGCCTTATATGCATCATAACAGACCTAAGACATACTTTCTTTTATTCTTCAATTCTCATCAGTCCGAGGACTTCAGATCATTCTACCAGAAAAAAACTACCTTTCAGGTAGTCTTTTTCCATCAGACATACTTCTCTGCTGGATAGGGAATATGGGAACACTCATGGAGCCAGTTTACCTAGGATTTATCAGTAGAAAACAATAACAATGGCCTGCCCGTTTTCCACCCTGGTAAATTAGCATAGTAGTATTGCATGTACTTTTATTTGCATATTCCCCATGCAGCCCAAGAAAGACCAGTTTACCATTCCGGCATTAGGGTAAAGCAACAAAGGCAAAAAGCAGAAGGCAAGCTTTATTGTAAGTCAAACTTTCAAGCCTAAAACTCAACTCTAGATAAAACAGTGTATTTTTAGTTTTGGATAGCGTGTGGACGAGTTAGACCAGCCTTTCTCCACTTTTTTACATGAAGGAATCCTTGAAATAATTTTACAGGCTCAGGGAACCCCTGCTAATAATTACTATGAAGGTTTTTCACAAAGCTAGCCGAAGGATCAACCGTAGCTGCGGCCGATCCTTCGGATAGCTTCAGCCGCCGGAGCCCTTTGGTTCAGTGGAACCGAAGGGCTGCTGTACAGACTATTCACTATAGCCTGTACAGCCCCCGAAGGCAGCCGAGCGGCTCAGCCGAGCCGAAGGCATATGCTTCGGCTCGGCTGAGCCGAAGTGAAACCCAAAGCTCTGCAACTGACAGCTCCGCCCAATTGTTTCTTTCTTTTTTTTTCTTTTTTCAATAATCTTTGATTTTTTTTCATTTATCATTTATTTACATTTTGTAAACCTTTTTTTCTTCAACTTTTTTCACTGTTTTTCTATTCTGCTGGGTACCACGGAGGTACCGAGCAGAATAGACGAGCCAAATGCTCGGCATTTGGCTATTCATTCACTGCCATTCGGCCCCTATGACAATAGGCGGAACTACAGCGAGTAGCCTGCCGGAGGTTCGGCTCAGCCGATCTAGATGTTGGATCAGCTGAGTCGAACTGCTTCTGCACTTCGGCCCAGCCGAACATGCAAGCAAGCCGATATACGGCTGATTTCAGCCGATGTACGGCTGAATTCAGCCGTACAAGCCTGAAGTGAATAGCCGAACAGCGGGTCCGTTATTCACTCGGCTGCTTTCGGCAGCTTTGTGAATAACCTCTATATCTACAGCTCACTATTGATTAATATGATAGTCAGTGGGACAAATGCTCCTTACATTTGTGATTAGTGGCAAGAATGCTCCTTACGTTGATGGTCAGTGAAGTGCCCCTTAGTCTGGTGGTCAGTGTAGAAAGGCCCCCTTTGATTGGTGGTCATTGGGAGAAGGTCCACCTTACATTAGGGATCAGTGGGAAAAATTGTTCCTTACATTGGTGGTCATTGGGAAGAATGATTCATACGTTGGTGGTCAGTGAGAAGAATTTTTTCTTACATTTGTAGCTAGTGGAAAGAATCCTCTCTTACAGATAGCAAATACAATCATTGTTGTCAGTGATTTACTTATTTGAGTGGTAGAGTGTGCTCATTGCTAAGGAAACCCCTAGCAACCTCTGGAAGAGCCCTGGTTCCAGGGAGCCTTTGTTGAGAAAGGCTTGGTTAGACCTTTGTCACATTTTTATTGCTGACCCCAAGTCTTATTGTGACCCCATTCTGGATATATCTCCTTCCTCCTGTATGACAGAAAGGTAAGTAAGGGAAATACCACCCGAGACACAGGAGCAGTGAAAAATCTTGTAGTAGGGTGTCACATACCTGGTAAGAGACCGGAAGGTGAGGAGGCTGCTCTTGTGACTCGTGTCCTTCCGCCCCTGGAGAACAGGGAGCAGTTGGACAGCGAGGAGCATGAGTGCCAATGATGGGAACCGACACTGTGCAGGAGACATCCAGATGACGTGTAGTCAGCAAGCCGGGGGTCCACCGAGTAGACAGGGAGGGAGCAGGAACAAGAGACTGGAGCAGGAAAACCAAAGGTCGGAGCCAGCCGGGTAGCAGAGTACAAAATCAGCAGCAGAAGGCAAAGTCCAGGAAATTGGCCGAGGTCAGGGGCAGGCAGCAATCAAATAGCAAAGTCCAAACAAACCGGGTCAAGTAGGTCACAGGAATCCAACAGGCACAAACACATGGGAATACTAGCTGAAAAGACTATCAGCAATGGAGCAGGGGCAGGCTCGTTTTTATATGGTGAGCTTAACCAGGTAGCAGCATCACTTCCTGTGCGACAGCCGTTGCGTGTGTTTTCGCACACTTCTGGTTTGCGCACAATGGCGCGTTTTCCGGCCACATGGAGATTTGGCATGCGCGGCCGCCATTTTGCCCTTACATAGGGTGAGATTGGTTTAGAACCTCTCTAAGGACAATATTGCTGTGTGTGCCCCCAGCAGGGAGATTTCCCCCCACTTAATGACCATCTGAGAGGTGTTAGACAGAAAAGGGAGTGAGGGGAATCGCTTCTATAGAGACACAAACAGAATTTAAAGGGTTAGTTCACATTTAAGATTAAAAGCACTATGCACTCAAGGGCATCCTGTACTTTTAAAAACACCCCAGGCCCATTGTAATTTACCCATAGCCTGGCTGAAAAACTTCTACTGGGAGTGATCAGGGCTGTCCTGCTGATGGTCTGGGATGCCCTGTTCATTGGGAGAGCCCATCATTAGAATTAACGCTCTCCCTCTTTCAAGACCTGCGCATGTGGGTTCTTCCTCCCCTGTCGCAGCAGCGCTGAACTCAACCGATACACATACAGGTCTTGAAAGTGGGATAGCAAGCATTCCAGTGTCACTGTCTGGCACCCTGTAAATCTAGATTGACACCCTGTAAATCTAGATGGACTGCAAATCCTGACAGATATAAAAACATCTATAGTTGTATTTCCACTGTGTGTTTAGCTGTTTGCATGGAGGTGAGCTGGCCTTGTTCACACCAAATGCAGAGCAGATCCGGTCAGGTTTCTGCACACACAGTGCAGTGGGTTGTGCCGCGTTTTTGACGCGTTTTTGATGCGTTCCAGAGCAGAGCCAGAGACCGGCTAAAATAGGGCTTGCCGCAGTTTTTTCACCTGCTCTTGATCTGGTCTGGATCTGCACGCTGCGATGTGAACTGGAGGTGAAAATACCATAGGAATACATTGGACGCAGTTTTGATCCGGTCTGCACCTGCTCTGGTCTGGATCTGCTCTGCGCTTGGTGTGAACAAGGAAGTAATTGAATTACAAGTAAGTGAACTACAAAGCTGAAGGGACCTCTTTTAGGCTGGGTTCACACTTGGGCATTTTTCAGCGCTGATCGAAGCGCTGAAAAACGCTCAGGAAGTGAAATCCTAATAATTGCTAAGGGCATGGTTCCCACCAAGGCGTATTTCAGCGAGTTTTGTCGCGCTGAAATATGCCTTACGCGCGAAAAAGTACATGAGCTACTTTGTGGCAGATTTCAGCACGTATCCATTGGACTTCTAAATAGAGATTTTGTAAACGCGCGTCAAACGCGCGTTTCGTGGACAAAAAATTGCGCTAAAAATGTGTGGGCAAAAACGCGCATAAAATGTGCATATTACGAACGCCCAGGTGTGAACCCAGGCTTAGTCTTGTACAGTACACTTCGTACTCTTGTCACTTTTCTGGAGAAAGTTTTGAATATTTATTGTTCTGAGGACTAATTGTTTGAAGATGACATGTTTTATTGTACCAGTGAGCTTTACTCATTTATAATTTATTCTATTGTATTTATTTATATGTGTACAGTTTGTGTATGTACAAAGCTTACCATTGTGTAATATAACAATACCAGCAATAAATCAATATTCTGGACATTTTTTTTTGTTTGTGATGTTTTTTCTTACAGAACATCAGACATTCTTAGAACATTTATGTATGGCTACCCTGGAATGTGTACGGTGACATAGTATTACAGTTCGCATTATAATAAAACGTACAATACAGTCAAATAGGAGATCTTCGGGCCAATGTTTTCTCTGGTTCATGCACTCCCCTCTCTGAGTCAGTTGCAGCCTTACCCACACACACTGGAGCATTCAAGGAAGGTTGCACAGCACACAATCACAATGTGAAACCTAGAAGCAATGGGAAGGCATGACGAACTGAGCTGTGCGGAAATTCCACTTTAAAGAGGGGTCTTCAAACATTCTAAATACAGGGCCAATTTACTGTGCTCCAAACCTCAGTCTATGACCTGCGTGAATACAAAATGCCCCAATGTCAGTAATCTGTAGGAGATAGAAAAATGGCCCACAGTTGGTGAGCATTAGGAGTAAAAAAAAAAAAACCTAACTCCTGTGATTTTTGAGAGGAGGAATCATGCCCCATCTTTTGTGCCAGTGGGAGGAATAGCACCTCATTGTTGGTATCAGTAAGATAAATATGATGCCATTTTAAATAGTAACCCTTCATTGCTATCAGTAGGAGAAATACTGCACCGTTGTTAGTTCCAGTGGGAGATATAGTGCCCTCATGGCTAATTAAAGGCAAGCAAAGGGCTGCAATTTAGGAGCCACTGCTTTGAAGGATTAATACAGAAACGCATTCATTTTGTGTGGATGTTGATTGGGTCTTTTATTCCTTTTATGTCTCCATTGAATTACTCTAATGCTCCATTAAGAACCGATTCACTGTGCAAATACCATACACTGTTACCTTTAGGCAATGATTGGCTTCATGATCATCCCAACTTTTTTGATTATGTTACTGTTCTTGTGTCAGAAGGAAGGACAATGGGTCTCATGTGGAAGCAACCAAGAGAAAGACTTCTGTGTTGCCCATATTAATCTTGTTAGTCAGATTCTCCTTTATATTTCCTAACCTGCACTGGAAATAACAACAGGAGATGTAATTGGAGCCTGTGGGCCTTACAGACAGTTCTTATATTACATGGTTCACACATGACGCCTTAGTATTTTTTAATATATATACTGTATATATGCAGGGCTCAAAATTTCAAGTCCTGAGCTACTAGCCAGGCCTTAAGAGTTACTCGCCACCAGTCGCCCCACCTGACCCCTAATAAAAAATTTGTAGCTTTGTGTTACTGATGAAATTGTGTCATTACTATTCACTTTAAAAATGTGAAACACATCACAAACTCAAATAAATATAAAATGGTTGGAATGTGGTAACCATAAAGTACAGGCTGCTGATATATATCTATAGAATAACTTTATTAATATGAAACACTGTTACATAAGCAGCATCATAGTGAAGTTTTTTTATCAACAAAACATCAAAGTTTTATTGAATGTGCTAGATATGTCAGCTAAAGCAGTCCTAATATCAGTGCAACAAATGATAAACCAGAAAGTTTTTACAGCAGTTAGCCTTTGGGTTCTATTTACATCTACGCATGTCTTTTTGTGTGTTTATCCGTCATGTCATAAAGCAGACAATTTACTTTAAATGGGCCCTAAAAGAATAAATGCATTTTTGAGTAAATGCACTTATTGTTTCTACCCCCCACCCCGACCTCACAAAGCCCACCCTCCACCGAAGCATACTTACCATGATCTGACGCTCTGGGATTTCTGCTTTTGTTTACATCCAGTGCCAAAGTCCTATCACTGCTGACCGTACCTGTGCAGTAGAACCCCTAAGAGGTGTTTGGGTCTCATCACCCGACATCTCTTGGCTGGGATACAGGGGTAGATGAGCCCCAAAGAAGTCTATAATACCTGACTGCTCAGTTGTGGCCAGCAGTGAGTGGATTTTAGTGCTAGATGTAAAAAAAAGGCCTTAGGCCCTGGGTGCCAGATCTCGGTAAGTATACATCAATGGAGGGTGGGCTTTCTGAGGTCAGGGGAGGGGGACAGAAAAAAATAAGTGCAATTCCTCTGACTATTTTTGGCCAGTACAGTGCATTCACATCTGTGCATAATGAGGAGTTTAATTGCCTCTGTGTTCCTTTACACTGTATATGTTCATTGGAGTGGCATTCAGAATAAATTGCATAGCAACTCTATATATCACATGTATGTGAATAGAGCCATAAAGAGACCCTGACACCAAGCCATTTATTTCAACAACAATCTTCGCATTAGTTTATAGGTGCATTTAACATATTTTATGCAGGTTATGTACCTGTAAAAGTATCCTTTGTGTAGACATCCAAAATACCATGAGACTTCTGCCATCTTGGATGTGAGGACAGTAGCCCCAGCAGACTCAGAGCTCTCATTCAAGTGACACTCTATAGCATTGCCCTTCATAAAGGTTACTCTATATAGGAAGGTGAGGGGAGGGGCAGAGTAGTTGTGCCAGCACAGACATTAATTAGGCTATAGAAGAGCAGGGCTATGATGTGGCAAGAGTCAGGGGAAACTGTGGTTGTGCTAAAGAATTGACTGGAGTGTTTGAATTCCCGAGCAAGTTCAAAGCTACATTGCAAGTGAATACAACACTTGTTAATGAAAAGGAAAAATGCTGCAGGTAAGCATTGAAAAGGTCTCTTTGATAAATACAAAAAAGAATCTTCCATACAGATCTCACTTGACATATAAAGCTTTTACAAAAATGGCGGTGTAATGGTAGAAGAAACAACACATGATTTATTAAGTGAGTTTAGTGCTGTTGATTTTGCTTTGTATCCAGTCGATGTATTCCTGGGTCAGGCGAGTGAACACGGAGGCCTTGTTAGGTTGTCCACATTTTTTTGGTCCAAATGATGTCACTCCTGACAAGACTCCATTGCAGATTAAAGGACCACCTGAATCTCCCTGGAAAAAAACAATGCATTTTTTAATAAATTATTTATTTTGTATGCAATACATAGGGTACTTACTTTACAATTGTATCTTTAAAAAAAAATATACAGTATGAGCACAATTATCAGGAGAAAATCCAGCACATATCTACTGAAGAGTGACAGGGGTCTATTTTTTTAAACAATTCACAGCATCAATTTGCATATATGTCAACATGAGGTTGACCACATTATGGTCACTACATGGCATTGAGGAGCATAGAAAATAAATACTTATTTGCTATGTTCCTCAGCGTTGTGAAGTGGCCATAATGCAGTATTAAATGGAAAAAAAAAACATTCAAAAATACATTGCCTTGTATGAGAAAAACTAAAGAACATTATTTTGGCACATATCCGCACAGAATGAATGTTCACAGATATTCACAGGGCAAAGGACCCTGTGGATCGTTTATAAATAGACCTCTTTGTTTACGGTTACCATAAACAGTAGATGATTGTTACTCAGTTTGGCCAACTTTGGCAAGACTGTATAGTACTTTTTCTTTTCTAATGTTTTGCTGAAATTTTTTGCAAAGTAGTTCCAGTGGTGAGCAACATTGGTGAAACAGGGAGTTGACAAGGAACAGAGAATAAAGAAAATGACACATTCATACCCAAAGGTCATACAAAAAGAGCTTTAAAGGTCACAACAGTAATGTGAGGGTAGGGGTGATGTATAGTAGGCGTGCCAGTGGCATTCTGAAGACTATCTCTATCTTATGTGATATACAGTAAATCCAGGGCATGCCTTTGGATCTTTAAACAGTAATTCCACTTTCCCAGGCAAATTTGGGAAAATGGAGTTCCCCCCTTCAGTCTGGCCTCTTCTCTCCCTGTTATACTTACCTTTGGGCGAAAGCTGGTGTACTATGCATACTCTGTACACGGCAGCACAACCCTGCACTCTGTATTTGTATTTTGAATTTTGCTCACAAATAGCCTGACCGTGCTGACCAATAGGCAGCACTTCTTAGATTTCAGCATTAAAAAGCCTAAAACGTGGTTAAAACTGTGACTACACAACCCCTTCAGTAGTGCACCGCTCACAGTAAACACCAGCCAATGCACTGCTTTATACAGGGAGTGGCTGTAGAATATATCAGCTTTTACTTTTGTAAAAGAGTAATCTTCATACCACAGCTCCTATGTTTCCTGTGGTCAATCTTGACCAAAATCCACAGACCCCCTGAAACCATGCACTGCCTATAGTAATACAGAAAAAGTATTTGAGAACGAGAAGAATATGTCATTAGAAAATCCAAAAATAGCAGAGAAAAGTACTGATGTGATAACCTGAAGGGGTATCTTGGCTTCTTAGAGCCTTAAGATCCTTTAAGATGCTCAGATTGGGTTCACACTGTTGTGGTGTGTTAATGCGCACACATTGCCATGTTAGATGGCTGAAAGAATGATTTGATAATACAATACTGGTCCTCTTTAGAAGTATATGTTAAAATCAAAAGTCTTAAATAATATTCAGCAGATTTTCATTCTATGCCTCCTTTTGTTTATCTGTTTTGTAATTTGCACTTCTTTTATGGTATAGCATATTGGAACTGGCCGTTAGTGATAAGAGTTATCTATGACTAATGCTATATGATTCCAAAGTTCTTCTTGTAATCTTATTTCTCAAGACACTGCTTCTCTTCAGTATGTGCTCATATGGTGCAAAGTTTAAACGTTGATTAAGCATTCTGTAATAGTATAAAAAGCTAAGACATTCTTCTAATAAATTGAACATGTTTGAATCTGCCTCAGTGTAGTTCATTCTGTGTTCCCGAAGTGCTTTGAAGGAGAATCCCCCAGCCGTCTAGAGCCCCTTTCAATGGCTTTCTCCTGCATCCTGCTAGACAGCTATGGAGGGGGTAGGAGGAACTAGAGCGAGGCTTTACCATCATTTGCCTAAGCTCCTGCAGATAGAGCAATGTACTGCCAATCTAAAAGGACTGTAGATGAAGCTGGGCATGGATATTCACTGATAGAGCCATCAATGGTGCCAATATCTCAGCAGCTACAGCAGCAGCAAGGGGTATAACGCTACTGTGTTTGCACTGCGGAAGTACGCTGCCACCCTGGGCATATAGAACTAACTATCCAATAGTCTTACTAGCAGAATTAACAGATATTTACAAAATCATTCACAGGGTACGTAGAAAAACAGAGAACCCAGGTATGGACAGTTCACATCACATATTTGATATCATAGTTAGATTATATTATGGATTGTAAGCTCTCATGGGCAAGGCCCTCCTTACCATCTTGTCTTCAATTGTATTATAATTGTAATGTCTTCCTTATAGCGCAAACTGTTGGCGCTATATAAATCTTCTATAATATCATTATTATTATCAATAATAATAATATAATAATAGTTATATTTTAAAGATATTCTGTCCCTTTACACATTAAGGGGTCATTTTAAAGCCCATTCTCTGACTCACCACCACTCCGTTGCCCTGCAGTGTAAACCTTGTTGGAAGACTTCATTATGTGAGGAGGCCATACCTGGTAACGCCATATCTCAACCTGTGTTGTCACCCTGTCACATGTCCGAGAGACAGGCAGTATACTTACAGTACATGTATCCTGTCCTCCAGGTCCCACACTGGTGCACATCATATTTTCTGTTATTTCCATCTCAAGCCTTATATAACGATCAGCACATGTCTCTCTGCTTAGGACGGTGACATTAACTTCCAGTAGATATTGTGATTCATCATCTTTTTTAGTCTTCCCCCATCCTGCTGTTTCACATACAGTCCCCTCCTGTAGGTCGTTAGATGGTTTTGGCAGAGGTAGAAGCTGAACACCTTTTCCCAGCTTGGCTGCACGAGGTAACTACAATATATGTGAAAGATTTTTATGATACACAAAGAAAGATTTTAATGATAAAACTCTATACAAAGAAAGATTTTTATGAATAAATTAAGAGAATAACTGTTACCAAATGCAGGTGAATCTCCCTGGTCAGTGTTTTTTTAATATACAGTGAATTACTCACTGCTTCATATATACAGTAAACTCCGCGTTATCCGGCATCCACGGGGATCGGTAGATTCCGGATAAATGTTGTTTCTGGCTGCTTGAGAGTTACTATTAAAAATAGGTCTAACTAATGCCATACCGCATACTATACCAAATCATAGCATAAACTCTGTATTGACTTCATATTAAAGGAGAACTATGGGGTCAGGGCTTTTCCCCATAGTTCTCCTTAGGGTAAGAGGAGAACACAAACTAGCGTCCTCCCGTCACCCTAAGCTCAGTATACCACAAATGGGAGAACTGGAACTTGGAAAAGGTTGTCCTAAAACAATGTTCAGTATTGCAATATGCTGTAATAAAATAATTGTAATTCTCATTTTCATAATTAATAATAATATAAGAATAATGTATGTGTCCGGTATACCTACTCTATATAGTTTAAGATCATTAAAATATTTGCTGTTGTTATAGCGAGGGTGCGTAAAACTCTTGGGAGAACGAAACATCTGCTTCTGTTTCTCATATTTGTCCATGTCATGAGCACCAAGAATAACAGTTACAACACTCCCAAGCCTGAAAGAAAGAGATAACCAACATGGCAGTCATTATATTATACTGTACATGTGCCATCGCATTATATTAGAGTTTTTTTTCCATACTTGTGTGAATTGTGCGTAACCGATATGAGTGTTTGTCATATAATGATATAATACAGTAACTCTGTACTGATATACATAGTTACATAGTATTTGGGGTTGAATAAAGACATACGTCCATCAAGTCCAACCCATATAGGTCCACGCATCATCTCATTCTTAGGGATACTGGTATCCCTGGATATTACGGTCCCTCAAGAAATTGTCCAAACGTTTCTTGAACAAATCTACACTCTTGGCTGAAATCACTGCCGATGGCAGTGAGTTCCAGACCTTAACCGCTCTTACTGTAAAGAACCCTCTTCGCCCATTGTGCTGGAATTTTTTCTCCACCAACTTTAGGTGGTGGCCTCTAGTCTTTGTAATGGAGTTAATCTCAAACAGTTTGTTGCCAATGTTGAATAATGTGAAACCTCGCGCCACTACTCTAATCAAGTTAAGCAGCAGCTGAAATCTGTGTGGTCAGATATAACGTATGAAATTAATGGTAAAAGCCGCACCAACAAGAAAAACGTATGTGTGTAACTTGCACTCCAGTGAAAATAATAAATGGTTAAAATATTTTTTAACCATTTATTATTTTCACTGGAGTGCAAGTTACACACATGCGTTTTTCTTGTTGGTATTCTTTGCACATTGCATCACATTGATTCACAGTTAATATTTAGTGCATTTGATTTTTCATTATGGATATTTTGTAGCAATTACATTTACACTAAGGTGCATGTTATATACATGCATTTCTTTTTTGTTTTGCACTTTTTACACATTGTATGACATTACTCCAAGGTCAGTATCTACTATATCTGACACTTTGCGGTCTCATTCACACAGCGCGGTTGTTGCCAATGTTGCTGACCTCCACCACAGCCTGGTGCGTTATGTCCAGACTCTTTTCCATGACTGTTATGCTCCTAAGTGTTTCAAGTTTCTTGCTTAGATCCAGAATCTGGGTTTCCAAACAAGCAACTTGCTCACATCTCGTGCAAATGTATTCCCCCTCAAACGCATGTTCAAGGAATGCATTGCGCACGACATGCACCTGGTTGCATACCCACTCATGGAAGACATTATTTTATTTCACCCTTCTTACTAATTTTTTTTACTTTTATATTATTTTTATGTAAATCGAGACTACTTATTTGTAATTTATTTATCTAAGGTTTAGTGGTTCACAAGTGGCACGTTCAATAACTTGTTTTTTAAACTAAATTTTATTTATACCACCGCCCTGGTTAAACTTCAATTGTTTAAACGCCACTTAGCTCCCAGGCACTTTGTTCCCAAGCCCTGTGTGAGCAAGCTCAAAATGAGTGGTGCACTAGTTTATAATACACCTGCTCAATGAGAGATGCCTGAGCTCAATTAACCACTCCCCCTAACCAGAGATCTGCAAACCGGAGGGGAAAAAAAAGGGAAGAGTTTAAAAACTTACAGAAAAGGAAAAAGAGTTTTTAAATACTAAAAAGGAAGGAAGGAAGCAGAGACAACAAGTATTCCAAAAATCAAGCACTCAATATATCCCAAACAGTTCAAATCCAATTTTTTAACGCCACTTAGCTCCCAGGCACTTTGTTCCCAAGCCCTGTGTGAGCAAGGTTTTTTTCTGAGATATTTTAGGTAACTCTGACACTGTTCTGAAGTTTAGAAAGGTCTCTGTTGGTTACATTCAATATCCTCATATACTGCCCAATCAGAGCAATTTAAAGCACACAGGCCTCCTTTACAGTACTTATTATTGATGGTGGTTTATCTCTGAATGTAACCTAATAAATTGAACCTCTGATCAGCATGGAGCAAGGGATCTATCAAAGCCACAGTACCATAAACACCATAAGGGAGCAAGCATACTGTTGATGTTGTTAATGTTTGTAGTACTTCTAGGCATGCTGGTGTTATCAGACGCTGCTAGTTGGTCACTTTGGTGCTGTAGTACTTTGAGTCACTAGTTGTCCTGGATTGAATGACACCCAATGTCATTCAACATGGAAGACAGAGGACATCCTGTGAGTACAGTGTGTTATGGACCCGCATCCTAGAGAATTGTCATCATGGCACCTTGGACTCACATATAGTGATGCAAAGAGCTGTGATGATGTAATTACAGGGTAAGTTAACCTTTCACACCATGTTTCATATTACACCCATATTCGGGGTGTAACATGACACATGGTCACATCGAAACCCCCTCCCCCATCCTGCCCCACCAATTACCTGAATCAAGGTTCTTCTCCCTGCAGGCTTTTGTTGATTATTGAAAAAGGTGCGGCTGTGCGTGGCTTTGCCCACACAGCCATGCCATCCAATTAACGGATCCTTTGACAAGATCTGTGAATAGAGAAACTATTCACCACCGCCACCCATTAGCCACCACAACAGAGTTACTAATAGTTCTCAGTGGCATACAAGTGCAGTGACGTCAACGCACTTGTAGTCCACTCATTCTTCCTCCCCTCCCTGTGGTACGGGAGATAGAATCTGCAGGGCCACAGCATTGCACTCGCAATCCACTCCCCGTGGTTGCAATGCTTTACTGCCTCCAATGCACATTCTTTCTTTTATTAAGAAGTGCGCATTTTTATTAATTTTTTTAAAGGTGGAATTTACTTTCTAAGTCAGTACCCCTTTCTGCATCAGTGAGGACTGCCTACTGCTAGAGAAGATTGAAACCGGAAGAGGACCCTACAGGTTACATGACCAGCCTGAAGACATCTGAGAAGACAAGTAGAAAGTAAAAGTGTAAACTACAGTCAGAGAGTGTGAATGGGTGGGGGGCATGAAACCTGGTGTTTCGAAGCTTCAAGAGTGTATATCAGGGAAGGGAGAAGTAGTAAATTACAATAAAAGTACAGGACTTATAGATGGATATAAGTGCTGATTGGAGACAGGAAATATAGTGCTGGGTGGTAATTAGTGTGCAAGGTTGCAGGGCAAATAAAAAATGGGCCCACATATACAGTTTCTAATCTGTTTCATTTGTTAACATTTTAGGATATGCGGAATCCTTGTGCTATGAAAGCAGATGTACTTACATTTGACAGTGACCCGCAGTGAGCACCCATCTGGGATGAATTAGACTTCCTCCACATATACTTTCTCCATAGCTTGTTTCAAACTTTATCAGAGCCATGTACGGTCTGGAATGTGGATTAGCTATCTCTCCATCTATTATTGTTATTTTGGCACCTGTGTGAATGAAGAATATCTTGGTATTATTATTATTATTATACAGGATTTTTATAGCGCCAACAGTTTGAACAGTCTCATAGGGAAAAATTGCCATACCATGAAGCGCTTATAAAATACTTTCCAGAAAATTAGACTGCAGAGTCACTCAAATCCAAGTTGACAAAGCATGGGGGTTTTATAATCTTTTATATGCTAAACGCATTAGGCAGCCTTTCTCAACCAGAGTGCCTCAAAATGTTGTCACCAGCAGGGCCGGCCTTAGGCCTTTGGGCGCCCTGTGCGAGAAAGCTTTACAGCGCCCCTCAGTGGCCACACCCTTTAGTGGCCACACCCCCGTAACCACACCCATTTCCCCCAATATCCGCACCATTTAAAGACTCCTATTTTGTTAAGCCGCAAAGAAACATATTAAAAAGTATGATAAAAATAAAACTTTTATTCAAAGGTATTAAACTTGTAGGCACAATAGAAGTATTCTTATCAAAAGTTAAACAATAAATGTCAAACTACAATAGAGTCTATAAAAATAAAGTGTCAGGATGTCATGCTGACCCCTTTTTTCAAGTAAGTGCACCTAGAAAAGTAAAAATAAAAAACAGAACACAAACCCCAGGCTACATGTAAATTAATTAATTACTATATGTCCGAATATACGATAAATGTATTCAGACACATAATAATAATTTGTTTGAGAATGTGGGGCGGCCATGTGGGCCACCAGCGTTCTCTGTGAATGCGTACCACCATCTTGGAGGCAGGGAGCATGACGTTACATGATGCCATGCATGAGTGGCGTCAGGTGACCTCACACGCCGATATTGGCCCCACCATCTTGGTGTATACCTAGATATACACCAAGATGGCGGCGCCCAACACGTGCGGTTTTATATGACGTCATGCACCCCGCCTCCAGAACACGCCAATGGCTGAATACAAAATAGCATAAAAATGTGTTTTGTTTGATGAAACAAATGAAAACAACTCATTTCATCTGAAATGAATTTTTAGTCTTCGCACATGTCTAATAATACGTTTGTGTGTGTGTGTGTGGGGGGGGGCAGGGGAGTCTGTTTTCACTTTTTTAAAATAATTTTTTCATATTTATTTATTTTTTTACTGTTGGGGGGCTTCAGGGAAATATTAGGGGACAGCGCCCTGTGCGGCCGCACGGCTCGCACACCCCTAAGGCCGGCCCTGGTCACCAGCATCTTGGAAATAAATGATAGTAATCCAGGGAAGGTGGGATCCATTCAGAAAAAAAGACCAGGCCTGCTACCCCAATGCCATGCTGCTGCAGCTGTGGCTCCTGGTGTGATGGTAGGACTCTCATATGAAGTGGGAGGCTTTGATGTGAAACAGGGAATTCTGATGTGAAAGGAAGGGACTGTTTTGAAGGGGGGGGCTTTGATGCAGACATCCCAACCTGCAAAACCTTATTTCAGGGAGGTTCCCATCTCATTTCAGGGAGGTGCCCTATCTGTTTTTTGGGTTGTTTTTTTTACAGTGGCTGTAGTCAGAATATAAAAGAAATAATAATGATTATATATATATTATTATCATTATTATTATGATATTATTATTAATATTATAATAATGATAATATATATATATATATAATATATGTATATATATATTATTATCATTATTATTT